TTTTTTTTTTCCCATCCCCTCTTCTATTTTCTTTTTAAATCAACCCCCCCACCCCCCCACGCCCCCCCTTCGTCCATATGCACGATCCCATCGCTCCACATCGAGGGGAGAGCGTTCAGATGGAGCCGGACCCCCCCCCAAAAAAAAAACCCCCAAACCAACGCTCCCAACCGCAGCGTTGCCCCCAAACTCGTGCGCCGCATCTTCTTTGTCCTCGAAAACGTTGTGTGGCTGCGAGACAGGAAGAAAAAAACAGAAAGTCATTGTGAGAACAGAGGGGGGGCGGGGGGGGGGGGGGGGGGGAGAAAAAAAATGACGGTGATGCCCCCGTGCATGGGATTGAACTTGTTTTCTTAAGCGGGAATCGAAGGACTTGACTTTGCATTTGTGCTCCGCAGGGAGAAGGTGCGGTGTCCTTTAGGAAACGCTGCTCCTCGGTGCCATTCGTTTCATTACGAGGAACGGACAAAAAGAGAACGGCGAGGGATTGGTGTGGCCAAAAAAAAAAAAAAAAGGGAGGGGGGGAAAAAAAAAAGATGAATTGAAGCCGGAAAATAAAGGAGGACATCGGGAGCCGAACTGAGGGCCGAGAGAAAACCCATCCGTGGCGGTTGGGTGCCGAAAGCTCGCAGCAAAACGTGGGTTCAGAGGCGGAGGTCTCCGCGAATCCCGCTCCTCTCGGCGCAGATTGCAGCGCCATGAATATGGATGATGAGATTTCGGAGATGTTCGCAGGTATTTAAAACCCCGACAGAAGAAAAACCCGCACCGCAATGACCGCAAAGAGGCTTTTAAGGGGGGAATTCTAATAAAATGGTCAAATAAAATCATAATGTAGAACAGCTTGCGATGTCTTTATTTGCCACAGAATTTCACAGAGGATTCCGGGGATTCACTTCTACATACACAAAGAATTATCTTTTTTTTTCTTTCTTTTTTTCTTGTTTTTTTTTTCGGGATTTTATTTCGGGATTTTCCTTTTTTTTTTTCCCTTTCTTTCTTTGTTTTTTTTTTTTTCCTGTCGTTTTCTCTCGTCGTTCTTCGTCTCCCATTTCCAGACAAAGGAAAGGAAAAAAAAAAAAAAATAAAGGAAAAAGAAATAAAAAAGGAAGGAAAAAAGGGGGGGACAAAAATAAAAAGGAAGGAAAAGGGGGAAAAAAAAAAAAAAGCGACGAAATTTATTTACAAACCATTTCGGTTCTCGCAAAACCCCTTTTCGTTTGGTTTCAAACCGCCCCCCCAACACCTCCCGCTCAACACGAACCTCGCGGAATACATGTATAAATATACACACAGGTTGTGTCCCGTGTATATATGCATATATATATTCATATACATACAAAGGGTGCTTTGGGGGGGGGCGGGGGGGGGGTTGGAATCTTCGTTCTGCTCGCAAACAGGGCTTTAAATTAGGGTTCGGCTCTTGGCCGTGGGGAGGAGGAAGGGCGCAGAGGAGCGGGGGGTGCGATGGGCGCACGGGGACAAACGCGTTGTGTGCTGCACACTCGCACTCACACTCGCACTCACACTCACACTCACACACTCACACTCACACTCACACTCACCCCCAGCCGAAGGGATTTTGATCCTACAGGGAGATTTTGGCCGCTCTTGGGATGACACAGCCGCGTTGTGAAGTCACAACAACACCCGCCCAGCGCTGCGCTGCGTTCAGAGGGACGGGGGAGGCCAATCATCATCGCCATCAGAATCATAATAACAATAATAATAATAATAACAATAATAATTAAAAAGAAAATCAAGGAAGAAGAAGAAAAAGAAGAAGAAGGGGGAGGAGGGAGGAGGGGTGCGGGAAGGGAGGAATCCCGTCTCGTTCAGGCAAAAAGAGGCCCAAAAAAAAAACAAGACACCCAAAGTTAAATAAAAATGTTCGTGGAATTCGAGTCCTTGAGCGGTTTGGTGACTGAAAGAAGGTTTCGCTCCTTTTGTTACTCTGTCCCAGACATAGAAATGTAAGTAACGAAAAGGCTCAAACTTGGAGGTTGCTTTGTCGGCTTGAAAGGGCAAAGCCACGCGAGCGGCTGTTCCTTCCCGAAACGCTTCGCCAGCAGAGGGGATTACAAAGATGTTCACAATAAGGGATTTCCAGAGAAATACTGCAGGCGGTCTCTGCTTAATTTTTTTTCTTTCATCCTTCTGTTCTGAAACCAGATTTTAACCTGTCGGTCAGTGAGATTCAGCATCCGAGACAACTGGAGCCTCTTCTCTTTGTTTATATAGACATTGAAGAAGAATTCTCTCTCCAGCTCCCTGATCTGGAATTTCGAATAGGGGCACCTCTTCTTCCTCGTTCGGGGAGCACCTTAAAAGAACCAGAAGGCAGCGTAAACATCCCGAAGAAAAGCAACAACACGGCCTCACCTTCGAGCTGCTCGCATAGATGGGGGCCGGGGGGAGGGAGGGGGGTTTAACCAAGGGGAGATCTCAGCTCGGAGGTGAGGTGACACGGGGTCTTTGCGATCGCTTTTGCCACTGCACGGGCTTGAAGCTCGGCGAGGGACCCCCGTGCAGCTGCGTTTTGAGTACGGAGAGATTATTTTGACAAAGGGCAGCCCGGGATTGAAGGCAGCGGTGCAGGAGCAGCTGTGCAGGGAAAGCGAGGAAAAAAAGAGAGCGCACGCTTGGCTGCAAATCTGTTATCTGTATAGAAACAGCATGAGCGAGGTCGGAATTATAGGAACTAGATATGATGTTCCGCATAAGTTTCTGATTAACTCCAGTCCTCGCCACACACGCAAAAAGGAATCAAAGTCAAAGAGAGCTTCGCATCTGAGCTGCAAACGGGGACTTTGCTGCTGCTCACGAAAGCGAAGAGGGAAACAAAACAAACCTTCCCTGTGCCAAAAAGAAAAAAAAAGAGAGAGAGAGAGAGAGAGCCCCACGCTCAGCCCTGGCTTGCAAAGTTGCCTGGATGGAGAGCTTTAAAAGCTGCCTGGAAATGAGGGCGAACGCAGGGAGAGGAGGCGAGCAAAGCGGCGCACGTCGGTCGGACAAAGCCGGGCGCCGCTCCGGCCTTGCGGGGGGAAAAAGCTTTAAGCAGAAAGTCTGAAGCAAACGCTCCGCGGATTCCGCAGCTCTCCAACAACAAACCCCCCCTCTGCCACCCTCCCACCGCCCCCCCCGCCCTCAGCACCACACCCCCACCGAGAGAAAAGACTCACCATACAGTTTTAATTTATATATATATAAAAAAAGAGATGAGAATAACGCATAGATATTAAAAAAAAAAAAAGCCACGCACCGCATGCATCTCAGCGCCTACAAGAGAGCGCAGGCAGCGGAGCAATGTTCTGCCCAATTGCCTTTTACCCTCCGCAACCCGGGACCAAATCCTTTTAAAATGCTCATGTAAGTTCATGATCAAAGTTAATATTTGTCACGACGGCGTGCTTTTAAAATTTCACAGACTCTGAGATGCCGTGTCTGCTGCCTAACATCTCCTTTTCTTTTTTTTTTTCCCTCTTTTTTATTTTTTTTTTTTTTTTTGTTCCAAAGAGCTTTTCCCATCGTAAAAATTCTTCTCGTTGGAAGAAAGAGCTTTGTAGGTTATAATAAAATCCTTTGAATGCTTATAAAACTCCACATAAAATTTGACCGACAAAACACGCGGGCTAGTCCCTTAACCTTTCCGTTTACTGCTCTACCTACTCGAATTGCTGCTTTTGCTTCCTTCCTTGTTGACAGAAGAGGACGAGGCTGAAGAGCCGGGAGTTGTGTTCTCCTCTTCGTCTTCCGGGTCCATCCCCGTCTCTCCGCGGGATGACAGCGCGTGGCTTTGGGGCTCAGCCTCCCCTTTGCCCTCTCCCTTCTGCCCGCAGCTTTCGGTCGGGTTTTCCGCCCCGCAATACGCGTTTTCGAAGAAGCGGTCGAAGCCTTGGGGCAGGACCGTGTTTTTGTTCATGCCGCCGTAGAATCCCGTCGGTGCCGGGTGGTTGGAGCTGGGGTGGTGGTGGCTGTACGCGCTCTCGTTTTTCATTAGCATTTCGGTCATGGTGGAAGGCGGGATGCACTCTCTATGCATCAGATCTTCTGCGGAATAACACGACGCGTAATTGCTTCTATGGTGCCATTTACTGGAGGGGTCTAGACCATAGGAGACCTCTCGCACGGGCTGCGAGAGGTTGGTGGAGTACGGGTAGGAGATTTGGCGAGAGGGGGCCTGTGGCAGGAAAGATGACACAGTTGAAAATTCGGGGACGTAATAGGTACAGCTGGGGAGGTAGAGGTTGGAAGCGCAACCCGCCCGCTCTCCAAACTCAGCGCTCCTCTCTTTACGCGACTGGGAGCAGAAGTTGCCCAGATTCACTGAGTTAAACATCTTTCTCCTTTTCTCGCTCCTATAGATGGATGTTTTGGATCCGATGTGCGGAGGGGAAAAAATTTGGGAAGGCGAGATGACGCGCGATCCGTCTTAGTCGCTCCGGAGGAACACGTGATCCAAAGTAGATATTGTCATATATCAGTTTGGAGCACTTAGATGCGTAGGAGTGGTTCACTTAGGTAAGATCTCAGAGGTTCAAACGATTGGTTTTCAAACACCGCAGAAACATTATGAAAATCAATGGCAGATTTGTATGCATTTTCCCGAAGGCACACCCCTCGTGGGCGCTCACAGCAGAACTATGAGGGGCGGCCGTGAAGTTGCCTTTCTTTTTTTTTTTTGCCTTTTTTTTTTTTCCCTCCTTCCTCCTCTCCTTCCCATTCGGATTCTGCTTGCTGCTTTCAGCGGGATTTGGAGATGGGGTGGGGGCGATTGGGGCTGCGGAGGGGAGGGGGGAGAGGGAGGGTCTTAAGGAGCTCGGACCGGGTTGGGTTGTGTGGGCTTTCTTTTTTTTTCTCTCTCCCCCCCCCCTCGTCCTTTGTAATATTTTAATTACGGTGATTACTGTAATTTATTATGATGATTACTTCTATCCTAACCCGCTCTTAGAAGTGTTCCCGAACAGACTTTAGGTAAATCAATATAATCACGGGGAAAAACGTAAGTAAGTTTGGGAACGTTTGGCCCCGTTTGCTGCAGGGGTGAAGCGCTCCGTACAGCTGCGCTGCGAAACGACGGGGAAAACCTTCATCTATCTGGGAGCTCGGGGCGGGGGTGCGGGGGGGTCGGTGCTAATTAACAAGCTCCTAACATACGCTAATTATGTTGATCTCTATGTGCGCACCAACTATACATCACGCCCGTTGGCACGGCCGGGAGCGACGACACCATTTAAGCGGTGGCGATTGTGCGAAGTTGCAAAGTTTGAGGGGAAAGCAAGGCCGGCCTTAATGACTTTTGATATCGAATTAGTCGTAGATGAAGGGGCAGGACAAATGGATCGGGTCGGTGTCTGGTAAATACTGGAAAACCTCCTTGAATGTTTGGTTAAATATTTATTCCGTCCGAGTGGCGCATTGAATATTTAATGCGATTGTTTATCGTCAATCAATGCGTGCGCTTTCAGTACCGCTCTCCTCGTTTATTCCTCCAGCCGAATTAAAAAAGATCTCCTTATTAAAGTCGTTTGTCTTCCCTCCGTGCCCCGAGAGCCGCCTCTCCCTCCGTCCTTCTGCGTTTCCACACGAAACAAACAGCCGGCACCGATCGCTGCTGCGATGTCGCCACTTTTGCCAACAATCGCTTACAAAATACACACGCACGCCTTAAAAATCCCCCCCAAAACCTCAACCTGAAAGCCCAA